AGTTCACATCACAGTTATTCAAAGAATTAACCCGTTTGATCGGCGCCTCACACCTTATGACAACTGCATACCATCCGCAAGCCAACGGAATGGTTGAACGTTTTCATAGGCAACTCAAAGCAGGAATTATGTGTCATGAAGACAACAAATGGACGCAACGACTTCCTATTGTTTTATTAGGCATTAGATCAGCACCCAAAGAAGATCTACAGGCAAGCTCAACAGAGCTAGTATATGGAGAAAGTGTCCGTTTACCAGGAGAATTTTTCGAAAACCATAAAGTACAGGATACCAATGATTTCGTAAAACAACTACGCCAGCATATCAAGGAAATTAAACCTACAGCTCCGGTTAAACACGGAGAGAAAAAACCTTTTATTTTTAAAGACCTAGCAACGTCGCAACAAGTCTTCGTTCGCCATGACGCGGTAAGAAAACCCTTACAGCCACCATACGACGGACCATATACGGTAATTGACCGCGCTACAAAATACTTTACCCTTGATATCGCCGGAAAACATACAAAAATCTCCATCGACAGCCTTAAACCAGCATATTTATTAAAAGGTGCAGCAAACAATAATACACAACACAACAAGACTAACCTGCAACCAGAAGTACAAGCACAAGGCACTTCAAACGTACCAACGACAACACGTTCCGGTAGAAGAGTAAAATTTCCAGACTTCTTCGGAATGCCGTTAGCTCACGAACATACTTATTAATATACTCCGATATATCTTGCGTACGCATATTATAAACCATGAAAAGTGCTGTCCACTACTAATACCATTATCAATGTTATAAGCGACATATTCACCCAGTAAAATGTATATATTTTAGATTACCACGTTGATCTTCCATAGGTATAATATTTTTTTTTTCTCAACCAATTTTATACCTTAGCGTTAATCACTGGAAGGGGGGGGGGGTGAATGTGGCGAACCAGACATAAAAAGACACGTCCTTCAAAAACGGGGTGTGCATATGCCTTTTTCGGGTTTTCCCGACGCAAGGCGTACACACCGCAATAAAACAATAAAAACGTTGGGACACAGCTTCGGACCATAGGTCCCGGATCACCCCGGTCGGAAAATCTTCGGGAAAGGCCTTCGCCCTTCCTAAGGACTTTCCCTTACCAATTTCAATACGTTCTTCCCAATAAATACGAGGACCTCTCGACCGGGAGAAGTCAGTTAGCAAGTTTTCCTCCGACTCTCAACGTGTTCATATTTCTGTCTTATCCGTCACTCGTTTATCTTTACCTTCTACACACTGTACCTCATCGCCTTTTGTTACAAGTTATATTAAAGTTCTCGTTATATAAAAACCAAAAAAACTCTCTCGGATTATTTTATATAAACCGTTGCAGTAACCCCTGCGACAAAATATAATATATAATAGATAATCTGCTATTTTCCTTTCATATATACATTTTTCATTGTTTAGCCTTAACCTCAGTGGAAAATGGTCAGACCCCAGTGGATTTTCATCTTGAGAAACTATTGCCTGTGAGGCAATAGTAATGTTGTTGTTTCCAAACCAATATGTTGGTTCGACAATATCAGGTCTAAATTATTGTATGTGTTATTTCTGATATCATTGTGTGATTTAGTATTAATTATATCATACACGATTACAATTTACGAATACGATTACGATCACGATTACGGTTTACGATACGAAATTATAATATAACGAACACGGTTTACTATTTCGGCGTGCGATTATGAGAATTATTGTACACTGTTTTATTGTCTTTTTATATTGTATTTTGTGTACGTCACTGTTTAGTGATAAATAGCATAGTTTCCAAAACCTACTATCTCTACATATACAGGGTGTCCCAAAAATGTCTCGCATTACGGAAATGTGGGGTAGCTGAGATCATTCTAAGTAACTTTTTCCTTTGCAAAAATGCAATCTGCGGCTTTGTTGACGAGTTATTAATGAAAAACACCGACCAATGAGACACAATGGCGCGAAACACAACGTGGTCAATCGATCGAGTGCCATGTGCTCCTACCACTGAGTTTGACAGCTGAAGGAGGGGACTCTGTGCCGCGTTCAAATCAATGAACAAATCTTGGAACATGAACTTTCGATATTTTTTTTACCACGTGGCAGTGATAATTTTAAGAAAAACGCTGTTCATTCTTATTTCAGAATGTCTGAAGAATATTTACTATATGAAATTTTTAATGCAAGGTGAAGATTAACAAAGTTCGTAAATGTTAATTTATTAAATTTTAATTTAAATAATTCCGCGTCCGAACACAATTCAACGAGCGATTCGCAAAGCTAATTTAATAAATAATAATCGTGTTAAAGGACGTAAGAGATTTGTTTGATAGAGAAATATGAAGAATATTATCAATAAGAAACTCACCCATTTAGTTGTTAATCCACTACATGGTCGGAAATGTGTGCTGGAGGATAATGCATTGACCTCGTACAATGTATGAACAGCGTTTTTCTTAAAATTATCACTGCCACGTGGTAAAAAAAATATCGAAA